TGTGTGGGCGGCGGGGCGGGGCGCGAGGCGGCCGTGTGGGCGGGGCGGGGCGGGGTCGCGGAGGCGGCTGTGTGGGGCGGGGCGGGGGCGCGGAGGCGGATTGTTGGGCGGCGGGCAGGGGCGCGGAGGCGGCCGTGTGGGCGGCGGGGGCGGGGCGCAAGGCAGTGGCGCGTGGCCGCAGGCGCTGGGACGGCGCGGAGGCCGGCCTGTGGTGGGGCGGCGGGGCGGGGTCGCGGAGGCGGCTGTGTGGGCGGCGGGGCACGGGTCGCGGAAGGCGGCTGTGTGGCGGCGGGCGGGGCGCAAGGCAGTGGCCGTGTGCCCGCAGGCGCTGGGCGGGCCGGAGGCGGCTGTGTGGGGCGGCGGGCAGGGGGCGCGGAGGTGGCGTGTGGGCGGCGGGGCGGGGCGCAAAAGAGCAGTGCCAGTGTGCGCAGGCGCTGGGCGGCGCGGAGGCGGCCTGTGTGGGCAGCGGGGCGGGGGCGCGGAGGCGGCTGTGTGGGCGGCGGGCGGGGGCGCGGAGGCGGCTGTGTGGGAGGCGGGGCGGGGTCGCGTGAGGCCGGCTGTGTGGGCGGCGGGGCCAGGGCGCGGAGGCGGCGTGTGGGCGGCGGGCGGGGGCGCGGAGGCGGCTGTTTGGGACGGGGGGCGGGGCTGCGGAGGCGGCTGTGGTGGGCGGCGGGCGGGGGGCGCGGAGGTCGGCCGTGTGGGCGGCGGGGCGGGGGGCGCGGAGAGCGGCTGTGTGGGCGGCGGGGCGGGGCGCAAAGGCGTGGCCGTGTGCGCAGGCGCGTGGGCGGCGCGGAGGCGGGCTGTGTGGACGGCGGGCGGCTGCGGCTGCCGGCGTGCCGGGGAGGGCGCGGGGCGCTGTGGCGCCGCTGGGCGCCAGCGGCCGCGTCTTTTCGCGCCAGAGGCCGAGCGCCCGCCTGCGCCGACCTGCGCGGCCGCCGCCTGCGCGCCGCCACCCTTCTGATGCCCGCCTTCTCCTTCGGCGCCTCGCGCGGCGGCACTGCGCGCTGCGGACGCGGGCCCTGCACGCGCAGGCCAGGCGCCGGGTGAGCGGGCCTCCGACACTCTTCTATATTGCGAGGTTCGGCACTATCAGCCACAAGTGCCGTATTTTTTGTGTGTATGTATGTGTATGTTGTGTGTATGTATGTGTATGTGTGTGTATGTATGTATATGTGTGTATGTATGTTGTATGTGTGTGTAATGTATGTATATGTGTAATGTATGTATATGTGTGGGTGTATGTATAATGTGTGTGTAATTATTGTGTGTGTATGTAGTATATGTGTGTGTATGGTATGTATATGTGTGTGTATGTATGTATATGTGTGTGGTATGTATGTATATGTGTGTATGTTATGTATATGTGTGTATGTATGTATATGTGTGTATGTATGTTATGTTTGTTGTAATTGGTATGTCTGTATTGTGTGTATGTATGTATAATGTGTGTTATGTATGTATATGTGTGTAGTTGTATATGTGTGGTGTATAATGTGCACATGAAAGAAGAATATGAACTAGTGTATGGGCATTCAAAGACACACCAAAATTGTGTTTTTATTTGAATTGATAGTACGTTTCATGCTTCAGGAGGCATTTTAGCATATATCAAGTTTTCACAAAAAGTATTTATCTGCTTTCTGTTCTTTCAATCTTCTCGTTCTCAAATATGGAGCGCTTCCCTTTTCATAATTGGTTTTATCACAAGCAACGGATTATGAGGGATTTTCTGACTGCCAGCACATGTTAAGGAGTCCTTAAAAATATTGTTACATTTTTCTGAAGCACATTTCAGTTTCATATATTTAAACCCATTTTTTGTTATATTGCCTTTCTTAATTTTTCAGTGTTTTGAAATCATTTTAAGCTGATCCAATTCACTAGTTCCTACATATACAATACTAATATTTAATTCCACATATTTAACTCAATATTTTTTCCCTACCTCTATTTATATTAGTTTCCTTTTTCATCTTATTTACATGTTGAATAACCTTTTTAAGTCATTATGTCTTTCATGTGCATTTCCTTCGATTTTGAAATGACATTTTATTCCAACTCTCTTTGAGCTTGTTCTTCTATTATTTTGGCCTCGGGAAATAATTTTTTCTCTACTCTCTCTGTGTATTTTTCGCAGTTCAATTGTTGGCAACTTCATTTTTAATATTCTCGTGTTTTCATTTCTGCTTCTTTAATATCTTGATTCCATTTCCATAATTGTTTTTTCTTCTTAAACGTTTTTTGCTTTACAGCATTTTTTAGCTGTTTCATGAAGTATGTTTTTTTTTTATATTTTTCTTAGTCAGTTTCCAGTTCTTCACTTTGAATGAGAGTGACTGTTTTTTGTCCACTCGTTTCTGGTAGAAATAATTATGTCGTAAAGATTTCTGTTCTAAAAAGGCTATACTTCATAAACTACTTTTTTTGAACTTTTGTACAAAATTAACATACCAGCATGAATAGACGCGTTTTTTTCTGTTTTCCTTTCACGCAGTAACGCCTGAACAGGTGGGATTTATTTATGTGGTGCGAATAAATGACTACAGCTGTTTAGACTTAGTCATATGGGCAGAGTCCTATCCTAACACAGTATACATATCTATCTTGTGTAATTATTCTATAACTGTTTAATAAAGCCCTTTTGGTCTGTTTAATTATCACACTACGCTTTTGAAATTTATTTGGTTCGAAAGTTCTTTTTCGGCGCGGAGAACCGAGATCAGGCAGTTGTGCCGTAGCGATCTCGGACCGAAGGAATGCGCGGGTTCGAATCCCGCCTCGGGCATCGTTTGTATTGTTCGTCCTTTCATCCCCTACCATCATCATAGTGTTTCCTCATTGTTACAATACGTTATACGCAATAGCGGTCGCTAATGCCTAGAAGATGAAGAGACCTTAAATAACAACAAAAACAAAAAGTTTCTTTATTTATGCAGTTTTTCTCCTGTCTAACGCGCAAGGCGTGTCGGCCAGACGCAAGCCGCGCCGGGGGCGCTGGAGGACGGCGCGGAGGAAGGCGCGGGGGCTGGACGGCGTGGAGATGCGGCGTTCTGGCGCTTGGCGCGCCGCTCAAACTTCCGCTTCCGACTGGCGGGAGCCAAGCGACGAGCACAAGTGGGGGGAAGCTGCTGGCGAACGACTCGTGGTCGGCGGCATCACGGGCGCGCTGCTCGCGCCGGGTCGACGTCGCCTTCTGCTACGGTGTGGATGTGCTGGGGCTGCGCCACGGTCGACATCACAGCGCCCTGGACCAGTGGTGAGCTCCTCATCCCCGGCCGCCGCCGCCGTGGCGTGTTACACGAGGCGGATTTAATGTTACAGACAAGATGCACTGTGATTGGAAATAACCTTGCGGAGTTAAACATAATGACAAACGGCTACTGATCGTACGCAACTCACTATGTCAGATATACGGCAGTTCGCGAAATCTGTGTCGCGTTATTCGGTGACCCGCGCCGAAACACTAGTACACGAATTTTCCCATATCAGGGGCAAATGCCACACGTGTAACATGAAAATTTCCCTAACATATTCATGCAGTTACATATAATCTTCCTACATATTTTATTGGAGATAAGTTATGATTTTCGATTTCCTCTACTGCCACAAATGCGACAAACTTTATTCTGAAGGACAAAAGTACAGGACGCTCGGAAGTGTCTCCGCTGTCAGTCAATCAACGTGTACTTTTTTGCATGGATATGGCAATATTGGTGTAGCGTTTATTGTCGTATCCCCGCCCTGCTTTTGTTATTTACACCGTCTGGTCCAGCAGTGGGCGGGTTCGAGATGGTCTACAAGCAAGGAACTTCTGTAAGACTAGGTTTGTAGAGGGATATTGCCTTTCTCCGGACCAAACATGTTCATGACCCAAAATGTTTTTTCTCAAAATTCGCGTTGTTTTGACATTCTAGGCAAATAGTGCTTTGCGATGTGTTATTTCATACTAAAAATTACCGTTAATGTTACACAAGTAATATTTTTTAATTACCAGAGTTTTTTCCCTTTTGTACTGATCTTCTTTGCAAGATGGCGCAACGTTTTCTCAGGAAATGCAAATTATTTGACATGGCTATCGTTACTCTTTCCAAAAGCAAAAGGACCTTTCAGTGTGCGAAGCACATCACTGAAGAGAGACGTTTTGAACGCTTTGTACTTTGCTAAGATGAACCCGTTGCAATTTACATCGCACTTTGAACAGTATGGTCCTTAACCTTAAGTTAAAAATATAAAAATAAAAGAGTTACAAATTTGGTACGATTTTTGATTTTTCTGTCACAGAGCATTGTTCACTTCAGTCAGTGGACTGATGACGGTACTAACTTTCGCCACGGAGCTTTAACTCGCATTGCTTTTACAAATAATCTTTTCACACGCAGACGTAGCCAGACCAGTCGATGTACCAGACCGCACCATCCCGACCCAAGTCCCAGAGACCCATACCCCTAGAAGTGGAACTCCAAACGCACTGCACAACGACAGTAATATCTATTCACTTAAGATACGAGATCCAAATGCTCTTCTTCAAGTATAATTACAGTAATGTTAGATGTTCCATTGATTTCATCATCCATTCCTCCCAATCTTCATGCCAATCTTTAAATTCTTCATCCTTCTCTATCCTTCAACGCATGCTGCTCATCCTTCATCCATCCATACATTCATTTATTTCATTCGTCCTTCTCCGACCTATGTTGGTGAATGCGTGCCCAGGTGTGCAAGCACATACCTGGCCCCGGCGCCCGGTGGCCGCTGGCGGCCCGTGGCGGCGTGGGCGCTTGCCGTTCAGCTTGGCCCGTGTGGGCGGCGCTGCACGCGCTCCCTCGCCGTCGTCTCGCCGCCATGCTGCACCTTCGCCGCACGCCCAGCCACTCCGCCGCACGGTACGCACGCCCCGCCTCGCCCCCCGCCGCGCCCCGCCCGCCCGCCCGCCCGCCCGCCGCCGCCCCGCCGCCCGCGCCCGCTTTCTTACAATGCTTTTCCTTTTGAAACAGGTGCAGATGGCGGCGGAGACGACGGCGAGGGAGGCGGTGAGCGCCGCCCACACGGGCCAGCTGAGCGGCAGCGCCACGGCCGCCACGGGCGCCAGCGGCACCGGGCGCGGGGCCAGGTATGTGTTGCACACCTGGGCACGCATTCACCAACATTGGTCGGGAGGACGAATGAATAAATGAATGTATGGATGGATGAAGGATGAGAGCATGGTTGAAGGATAGAGGAAGGATGAAGAATTAAAGATTGGATGAAGATTGGGAGGATGGATGGATGAATCAATGGAACATCTAACATACTGTAATATACTGAAGAAGAGCATTTTGGATCTCGTATCTTAAGTGATAGATATTACTGTTCAGTGTGCAGGCGTTTGGAGTTCCACTTCTAAGGGTATGGGTCTGGGACTTTGGGTCTGGGATGTTGGGTCTGGTACATCGACTGGTCTGGTACGTCTGGTGTGAAAAGATTATTTGTAAAAGCAATGCAGTTAAAGCTCGTTGCGAAAGTTAGTACCGTCATCGTCACTGACTGAAGTGAACAAATGCTCTTTGACAGAAAATCAAAAATCGTACAAATTTGTAATCTTTTTATATTTTAACTTAGGTTAAGGACCATACTGTTCAAAGTGCGATGTATTGCAACGGGTTCATCTTAGCTAAAGTACAAAGCGTTCAAAACGTCTCTCTTCAGTGATTGCTTCGACACTGAAGTCCTTTGCTTTTGGAAAGAGTAACGATGCATGTCAAATAATTTGCATTTCCTGAGAAAACGTTGCGCCATCTTGCAAAGAAGATCAGTACAAAAGGGAAAAACTCTGGTAATAAAAATATATTACTTGTGTACATTACGGTAATTGTAGTATGAAAACACATCGCAAGCACTATTTGCCTAGAAGTCAAACAAGCGAATTTTTGAGAAAACATTTTGGGTCATGAACATGTTGGTCGGAGAAAGGCAATATCCCTCTACAAACCTAGTCTTACAGAAGTTCCTTGCTTGTAGACCATCTCGAACCCGCTGCTGGACCAGACGGTGTAAATAACAAAAGCAGGGGGATACGACAAAACGCTACACAATATTGCCATTTCCATGCAAAAAAGTACACTGTTGAGGACGTGACAGCGGAGACACTTCCCGAGCGTCCTGTACTTTTGTTTCAGAATAAAAGTGTCGCATTTTTGGGCAGTAGAGGAATCGAAAATCATAACTTATTCCAATAAATATATGGTAGGAGATTATATGTAACTGATGAATATGTTGAGGGAAATTTCATGTTACACGTGTGGCATTTGCCCCTGATTATTGGGAAATTCGTGTACTAGTGTTCGGCGGGTCACGATCGGACACAGATTTCGCGTAACTGCCGTATATCTGTACATAGTGAGTTGCGTGACGATCAGTAGCGTTTGTCATATGTTTAACTCCGCAAGGTATTTCCAATCACGTGCATCTTGTCTGTAACATTAATTCCGGCCTTTCCGTGTAACACGCCCACGGCGGCGGCGGCGGGGAGTGGGAGGCTCACCCTGGTCCAGGGGCGCGTGAGGTCGACGTGGCGCCAGCCGCCCAGCACCATCCACACGTAGCAGAAGGCGACGTCGACCCGGCGCGAGGCGAGCGCGCCCGTGATGCCGCCCGACCACGAGTCGTTCGCCAGCAGCTTCCCCCACTTGTGCTCGTCGCTTGGCTCCGCCAGTCGGAAGCGGAAGTTGAGGCGGCGCGCCAGCGCCAGGAACAGCCGCATCTCCACGCCGTCCAGCCCCGCGCCGTCCTCCGCGCCGTCCTCCAGCGCCCCCGGCGCGGCTGCGTCTGGCCGACACGCCTTGCGCGTTAGACAGGAGAAAAACTGCATAAATAAAAGAACTTTTTGTTTTTGTTGTTATTTAAGGTCTCTTCATCTTCTAGGCCATTAGCGACCGCTATTGCGTATAACGGTATGGTAACAATGAGGATAACACTATGATGATGGTAGGGGATGAAAGGACGAACACATACAACGATGCCCGAGGCGGGATTCGAACCCGCGATCCTTCGGTCCGAGATCGCTACGGCACAACTGCCTGATCTCGGTTCTCCGGACCGGAAAAAGAACTTTCTGAACCAAATAAATTTCAAAGCGTAGTGTATAATTAACACAGACCAAAAGGGGCTTTATAAAACAGTTATAGAATAATACACAAGATAGATATGGTATACTGTGTTTAGGATAGACTCTGCCCATATTGACTAAGTCTAAACAGCTGTAGTTCATTTATTCGCACCACATAAATAAATTCCCACCTGTTCAGGGTTACTGGTGAAAGGAAAACAGAAAAAAACGCTCTATTCATGCTGTATGTTAATTTTGTACAAAAGTTCAAAAGAAAGTAGTTTATGAAGTATATCCTTTAGAACAGAAATCTATACGACCATATTATTCTACCAGAAACGAGTGGACAAAAAACAGTCACTCTCATCAAAGTGAAGAACTGGAAACTGACTAAGAAAATATAAAAAAAAAACATACTTCATGAAACAGCTAAAAATGCTGTAAAGCAAAAAACGTTTGAAGAAGAAAAAACAATTATGGAAATGGAATCAAGATATTAAAGAAGCAGTAAATGAAAACACGAGAATATTAAAAATGAATGCAACAATGAACTGCGAAAATACACAGAGAGAGTAGAGAAAAATATTCCCGAGCAAAATAATTAAGAAGACAAGCTCAAAAAGAGAGTTGGAATAATGTCATTTTCAAAATCGAAGAAAATGCACATGAAAGACATAATGACTTAAAAGGTTATTCAACATGTAAATAAAGATGAAAAAGGACTAATATAAATAGAGTAGGGAATAAAATATTTGAGTTAAATATGTGGAATTAAATATTAGTATTGTATATGTAGGAACTAGTGGAATTGGATCAGCTTAAAATGATTTTCAAAACACTGAAAAATAAGAAAGCAATAGTAACAAATGGTTTAAATAATGAACTGAAATGTGCTTCAGGAAAAATGTAAACAATATTTTTAAGACTCCTTAACATGTGCTGGCAGTCAGAAAATCCCTCATAATCCGTTGCTGTGATAAAACCAATTTATGAAAAGGGAAGTCGCTCCATATTTGAGAACCGAGAAGATGAAAGACAGAAAGCAATAATACTTTTGTGAACTTGTATATGCTAAAATGCTCTGAAGCATGAAACGTACTATCAATTCAAATAGAAACACAATTTTGGTGTGTCTTTGAATGCCCATACACTTAGTTCATATTCTCTTTCATGTGCACATTATACACACACATATACATACATACACACATATACATACATACACACATATACATACATACACACATATACATACATACACACACATATACATACACACACATATACATACACACACATATACATACATACACATATACATACATACACACACATACACATACATACACACATATACATACATACACACACATACACATACATACACACACATACACATACATACACACAAAAAATAGGCACTGTGGCGATAGTTGCCCGAACCCTCGCAATATAGAAGAGTGTCGGAGGCCCGCTCACCCGGCGCCTGCGCCTGCGCGTGCAGGGGGCCGCGTCCGCAGCGCGCAGTGCCGCCGCGCGAGGCGCCGAAGGAGAAGGGCGGGCAGCAGAAGGTGGCGGCGCGCAGGCGGCGGCCGCGCAGGTCGGGCAGGCGGCGCTCGGCCTCTGGCGCGAAAAGACGCGGCCGCTGGCGCCCAGCGGCGCCACAGCGCCCCGCGCCCTCCCCGGCACGCCGGCAGCCGCAGCCGCCCGCCGTCCACACAGCCCGCCTCCGCGCCGCCCACGCGCCTGCGCACACGGCCACGCCTTTGCGCCCCGCCCCGCCGCCCACACAGCCGCTCTCCGCGCCCCCCGCCCCGCCGCCCACACGGCCGACCTCCGCGCCCCCCGCCCGCCGCCCACCACAGCCGCCTCCGCAGCCCCGCCCCCCGTCCCAAACAGCCGCCTCCGCGCCCCCGCCCGCCGCCCACACGCCGCCTCCGCGCCCTGGCCCCGCCGCCCACACAGCCGGCCTCACGCGACCCCGCCCCGCCTCCCACACAGCCGCCTCCGCGCCCCCGCCCGCCGCCCACACAGCCGCCTCCGCGCCCCCGCCCCGCTGCCCACACAGGCCGCCTCCGCGCCGCCCAGCGCCTGCGCACACTGGCACTGCTCTTTTGCGCCCCGCCCCGCCGCCCACACGCCACCTCCGCGCCCCCTGCCCGCCGCCCCACACAGCCGCCTCCGGCCCGCCCAGCGCCTGCGGGCACACGGCCACTGCCTTGCGCCCCGCCCGCCGCCACACAGCCGCCTTCCGCGACCCGTGCCCCGCCGCCCACACAGCCGCCTCCGCGACCCCGCCCCGCCGCCCCACCACAGGCCGGCCTCCGCGCCGTCCCAGCGCCTGCGGCCACGCGCCACTGCCTTGCGCCCCGCCCCCGCCGCCCACACGGCCGCCTCCGCGCCCCTGCCCGCCGCCCAACAATCCGCCTCCGCGCCCCCGCCCCGCCCCACACAGCCGCCTCCGCGACCCCGCCCCGCCCCGCCCACACGGCCGCCTCGCGCCCCGCCCCGCCGCCCACACAGCCGCATCCTCGCAACCCCGCCCCGCCGCCCACACGGCCGGCCTCCGCGCCCCGCCCCGCCGCCCACACAGCCGCCTCTCGACACCGCCCGCCGCCCACACGGCCGTCTCCGCGACCCCGGCCCCGCCGCCCACACAAGCCGCCTCCGCGCCCCCGCCCCCGCCGCCCACACAGCCGCTCCGCGTCCCCCGCCCCGCCGCCCACACAGCCGCCACCGCGCCGCCCAGCGGCCTGCGGCACACGGCCAACTGCCTTTGCGCCCCCCCCCGCCGCCCACACGCCGCCTCCCGCCCCCCGCCCGGCCGCCCACACAGCCGCCTTCCGCGAACCCCGCCCCGCCGCCCACACGAGCCGCCCCGCGGCGCCCCCGCCCCGCCGCCCACCACAGCCGCCTCCGGCGCCCCCCGCCCCGCCGCCCACACGGCCGCCTCCGCGACCCGCCCCCGCCGCCCACACGGCCGCCTCCGCGCCCCCGCCCCGCGCCCACACAGCCGCCTCCGCGACCCCGCCCGCCGCCCACACAGCCGCCTCCCGCGCCCGCGCCCCGCAGCCCACAACAGCGCCTCAACGACCCCGCCCCGCCGCCCACACAGCCGCCTCCCACACAGCGCCTTCGCGCCCCCGCCCCGCCGCCCACACAGCCGCGCTCCGCGCCCCCCCCCGCGCTCACACGGCGCCTTCCGCGCCCCCGCCCCGCCGCCCACACGGGCCGCCTCGCGCCCCCGCCCCGCCGCCCACACAGCCGCCTCCGCGACCCCGCCCCCGCCCCCACACAGCCGCCTCGCGCCCCGCCCCGCGCCCACACGGCCGCCCTCGGCCCCTGCCCCGCAGCCCACACAGCCGCCTCAACGGACCCCGCCCCGCCGCCCACACAGGCCGCTCCCACACAGCCGCCTCGCGCCCCCGCCCCGCCGCCCACACAGCCGCCTCCGCGCCCGCTCAGGCGCCTGCGGCACACGGCCACAGTCTTGCGCCCCGCCCCGCCGCCCACACGCCGCCTCGCGCCCCGCCCCGGCCGCCCACACGGCCGCCTCCGACGCCCCCGCCCCCCGCCCACACGGCCGCCTCCGCGCCCCCGCCCCGCCGCCCACACAGCCGCCTCCGCGGAACCCCGCCCCGCCGCCCACACAGTCCGCCTCCCGCTCCCCGCCCCGCCGCCCAACACGCCCCTCCGCGCCCGCCCCCGCGCCCACACGGCCGCTCCGCGCCCCCGCCCCGCGCCCCACACGCGCCGCCTCCGCGCCCAACCCCCCGCCGCCCCACACGGCCGCCTCGCGCCCCCGCCCCGCCGCCCACACAAGCCGCGCTCCGCGCCCGCCGACCCCGCCGCCCACAACAGCCGCCTCCGCGAACCCCGCCCCGCCGCCACACAGCCGCCGTCTGCGCCCCCGCCCCGCCGCCCACACGCACGCCTCAGCGCCCCGCCCCCTCCGCCCCACGCCGCCTCGCGCCCCGCCCCGCCGCCCACACAACCGCCTCCGCGACCCCGCCCCGCCGCCCACACGGCCGCCTCCGCGCCCCCAGCGCCTGCGGCACACGGCCCACTGTCTTTGCGCCCCGCCCCGCCGCCACCACAGCCGCCTCCGCGACCCCGCCCCGCCGCCCACACAAGGCCGCCTCCGCGGACCCGCCCCGCCCGCCCACACAGCCGCCTCCGCGCCGCCAGCGCCTGCGGCACACGGCCACTGTCTTTGCGCCCCGCCCCGCCCGCACACCACAAGCCGCCTCCGCGCCCCCGCCCCGCCGCCCACAAACAGCCGCCTCCGCGACTCCGCCCCGCCGTCCACACAGCCGCCTCCGCGCCGCCAGCGCGCGGCACACGGCCACTGTCTGTGCGCCCCGCCCGCCGCCCCACACGGCCGCCTTCCAGACCCGCCCGCCGCCCAACACAGCCGCCTCCGCGCCGCCCAGCTCGCCTGCGGCACACGGCCACTGTCTTTTGCGCCCCGCCCCGCGCGCCCACACAGCCCCCTCCGCGACCCCGCCCCGCCGCCCACACAGCCACCCCACGCCGCCCAGCGCCTGCGGCACACGGCACTCTCTTTGCGCCCACGCCCCGCCCCACACGGGCCGCCTCCGCGCCCCCGCCCCGCCGCCCACAGAGCCGCCTCGCGCCCCGCCCCCCGCCCCGCCGCCCACACAGCCCCGCCTCCGCGACCCCGCCCCGCCGCCCACACAGCCGCCTCCGCGCCCCCCGCCCCGCCGCCCACACGGCCGCCTCCGCGACCCCGCCCTGCCGCCCACACGGCCGCCTCCGCGGCCCCCGCCCCGCCGCCCATCACAGCCGGCCTTCGCGACCCCGCCCCGCCGCCCACACGGCCGCCTCCGCGCCACCGCCCCGCCGCCCACACGGCCGCCCTCCGCGCCCCGCCCGCGCCCACACGGCCGCCACCGCCGCCCCCGCCCCGCCGCCCACACAGGGACGCCTCCCGCGGCCCCCACCCCGCCCGCCCACACAGCCGCCTCCGCGCCTCCGCCCCGCTCGCCACACGGCCGCCTCCCGCGCCCCCGCCCTGCCCGCCCACACGGCCGCCTCCGCCCCCCGCCCCAGCCGCCTCCGCGCCGCCCAGCGCCTGCGGCACACGGCCACTGTCTTCGCGCACCGCCCACACAGCTGCCCTACACAAAATTCCTTTGTAGCTTATTCGATTGCTTCGCTCAGAAATTGTTATGTCAGCCGTTGTACGTAATCGAAGGTTCCTGTGACGCCTATCAGAACCAATGTCGGTTCCGCCGATTTCGGAATAACTAAAGGCAGATTTCGTGGTAAAGAACTCCCCCAACGGAAAGTTAGCAAACTGAATTCGCATGAACTAAAGAAGAAGCCTTGATTACATCAGTAACACACCCAAAAGTTTGAGTTGTACATACGAACTGATTTTGATCACATTTTTTACGTGATTTTTCTTTACTTTTAAAGCATTTAAAAAACACTTTAAGAGCATTATATTGATAATTTCTGGCGATGTTTTAGGTCATTAATATTCATCTCTTGGTGCGTAATAATATGATCTTTAAATCAGAAACCATCAATATTTCGGACATCACAAACCATTGAATTAAAAAACAAATACCTGCGGGCCAATAATATGAACTTATTAATCAAAATATATAAACATTATTTTTTTACAGTGGATTAAGGGAAAATTACACTTTTTAATATCATATCTACCTTATTAAATAAGAAAATTTAAAAGATTATCAAAATATAACTGAATCATAAATAGTTATTAAATATAAACATTTTAAAATTTAAGGATGTTTACTTGTAAATAAATGAAAAAAAGTAATTTCATTGATGTAAAATTGATACATATTTGCCACCTTTAGTGTAATTTTTGTATGTAATGACTTTGTAAATGGCTCTTTGAAAAGTCTAGATTTTTCTTGTGACCATCAAAAAGTTTCGAACCACTAAAGATCGGGGATCCGTCGACCCCGGTTATAAATATTCTTTAATGAATGTTTTTCATATAGTATTTTGTCTCATTCTAAGAAACTGTAGTAATATATATATATATATATATATATATATATATATATATATATATATAATGCACCACATTTATTGTCGTCTCTGCTACACCACATCCAAGAGGCACGCTATTAAGTAGTATGTGAGAAATAGGTGCGGTGCGCCGGGCACTAAACCTGGCGCCTCTCATGAGGGTGCACAGCTACCCTATCTGCGGAGTCCATTACGCTTATCTCTTTCCAAGTTGTGATAACCTACTTCCGTGCGGAAGGGAGCAACCCAGTTCTCTCGCACGAGCGCCATTACTAAAGCTGTCCTGCAGACAAATCACAGAAAGGGAAGGTGCTTTGAGAGAAAACGGAGAAAATAATTGAATGAAACTCCTTTTCTTAGCTTTTCGTCGGGGAAAAATATTAATAAAAATTTTAAAAATATAAAGAAAGCGCATTAGCGGGGCATAGAATGGATGATATTTAAAGAAAGTATTGGTATACATTATTGAAGTAAATATACGTATTATGAAAAATGGTCTGATTTATTAAAAATGGTCTAATCTATTATTATTTATTAGATTATTTTATGAGTATTTTAACTTTAGAAAAGTAGATTGATAATTTGTTGTTTCTCGGTATATGCAATTTTTGATAATTAAACCAAGATATTTTGTAAGTACAAGTATTACCCAAAATGTGATTATCAGGGCACGGATTCTGATGACACGTCATCTTTTGATTGGTGCGTTCTAGACGTAACTAACTTGTAAATCAATGTTTATCACGACGTATAAGTGATAGAACTGTATAATTATTGGGTCTTTTTTTTTTAATTATTTGCCAGTTTTAAAGTCATTTCTGGATTTCAAGTTTTTTCAAGTTGTTTCAAGTCATTTCAATTTTCAAGTCATTTTTAAAGTAATTTCTGGATTTTCCCCGTTATTTATATCATTTTTATGCATCATGTTTCCTTTTCGGGCTTTTGTTAATGACTTCTTCCTGAATATTTACAATGACTCACTAAAACACATTTTATTGTGTCAGTTCATGACGAAATCCACTACTGCAGTGGGCTCTGTTTTTCGAACTCTGAAAATTTCACGGATCTTCGGTAACTTCCTCGACCTTTCGAAACTGATGGCAGAGAAATCGGAGCTAAAGATTACATTTCCTCCTAAAATACTTCGTTAAACCTAATTTTATATAAATAAATTTTATTTAAAATTGTAAAATTCATTGAATAAGTAAACAGTTTAATACAAATTTTTAAGTATTTAAAAAAATGAGGCCATTTCCAAGTAATTTTTGTGTTTTGGACGTCATTGTTTACTTACTTTTTAACCCATTTTATTGGTCATTTTCAAAGAATTTTTAGGTCACCAGAAACCGAAACCTGGTTATTATCATCAAATGTTTGTGATAAATTGTATTCTAATTTTTTAGAATATATGTCTCCTTCAGTAGATAATGTTTATTTTCGTATAGAATCAGCTTATGTATTATCAATCAGCCTCTTTGTTCTGATTTCATCATACGTTTTCTTTTGCAAAGGTTTTATTGGAACTTAATAAAAACATCGCGTGAGGGAAATTTGCCCTAAGGCAATTTCATTTAGTGTAATTGTGAAGAAATCTGAGAGTGCATGCAGTCACTAATTATTCTGAAAGGCTTGCAAGGATATGGAATTGTACTCTGACAAGTTACCGAACTGAATTTCCAATTACTTGAATTGAGGTGTCCTGTTACGAAAGTGCGCCATCTTTCTGAAGGTTAAGTCGAATGGCCTGAGTCACAATGTTGAAACAATTCCACGTATAGTCGGTGCGAAAGAAAATTGACACCACCCAAAAATCTTAGTTTTTAATTTAAGTAAAGGAATATGTTTAGGAGAGAGTAGAGAGAAACTAGCTAAATGTGGAACATGCATAATACGGAAGTCTGTCCAATGCGAATAGAAACCGCGTGCCTGGCAAACATAAATACTAAAATATTTCATTCTATAATGGGTGAAAAAGTACTGGTCCCTTGAGATTATTTTTTATAAATAAAAATATAAAATTGGGTACAAGGCAGCCTATTTATAGAGAAAACTATTCTGTCTTGGCTACAAAATAAACAACTCTTCTTAGACTTGCATTTCAAAGCAATGCGAGACCGGTTAATGTCTAGGTCTGGGAAGTATACTGACTCATTTGCCTGACTTGACCGGATTTTTGTTGTAATAAATTCCTTATTAACAATTGGCTCACCCTAAAAAGGAACCAAAAAAACAAACTTTTTAAAATACTATAATTCAACTTTTCACTGGAAGATCAGTGGAGAGTTGGTAAAAATATGAAGAAAATATAGTTGCATAGGGTGTGATTAATTAGTCTCCTTGGATGTTAACTTTTTTCCGGGTGTGCCTGGGGAATTTAAAGGTTTATTGTCTTTTAATCTACCTGCTCAGCAAGTATAGTAAAGTATAGACGTCAAGTACAGCAAGTATCGTCAAGATCGTCGAAACTTGCTCTAGTGTAAGCAGAAGCCCGAGCCAAAACATTTAGAGGATGCATCATATTCTTGTTATTTTTTCAACTTGCATGCCTTCGCAAGTTTCTCAATAATTTTGCTTCCTCGTTATTACAAGCTTTCCGATCTTTCTCGAAAGTTCGAGATGTTTCCTGTGAAGGACCTAAACTTGCCTAAGCCGTTTCTGTACATACTTTCAAAAAACGAACAGGAGTTATCTTCTTCAACAGAAAATTGCTTATCTTTCACCCAAATGAAGATGTATTGGAATGCTGTCATTAGTGCTTCCTGCATTTTTTTACCTTTATTATACCGAGAGGGAGAACCGATAAAGAAAAGTTGCGCGGGCAATAGAAATTGCAGATTATTTAGGCCATTTGGTTTATTGTTGGAATTGATTCTGAACTGCATCAGGGTGGGGGAGATGCTGAAGCCTGGGGGATGAAGAGCCAACCACAATTCTCTTTGACTCCATCACAACGTGTACCTGCCAAACACCAGTGCCCAAGATGTCTACCAATCAGAAACAAATATCGTATGCATAACTTTGTCATTCTCATCACGAGGAAATAAACGATCATCTTACCGAAACCTTACATCTTTTATTTTTATAAAATTTGATTTATCTTTCGGCTGTTTCTATTCTACCAACTGGCGATCCAGGCCCATTTTAGCCCTTATAAAAATTGCAAAATATTGGTAATGGTTAGTCACTTGATTCACTAATGACCATCTACATTCTACCCATTAATAGTGTTTGAGATACTTTAAGTCCAAAAAAGTATCACTTCATTATACATTACTGTAATTACAATATTGCTCGTAATAAGATATATTCAGTTTATTATTTAAACATAGAACGGAAAAGATGTAAATAATATTAGTTATTTTTCTGACCTTAAAGGGAATACGTTTAACATACTCATTGAAGCAAGTACAAAGATTTCAATTCTTATTTTTGAAATACTTTATAATTTACATTTCTTTAATGTTGATTTCTTTTATCGTTTATGTATTTAACATACAAATTAACAAACTAATACACTTAGATGTTTATTACATGTCTATAAATTGGAACAATTGCACAAAAAATTATTTCCAATTTTCTACTTCGGGGACAGTTTTGTCTCGTAGTCTAATTATAACGACAACTTCAGATTATCAAAAAATCGAACAGTTAGGAAAAAACAAAGCTGCATATTTTTTATCGCGAGAGGTGACAGTGATCTTCCTTTAGCTGCATGACGAGATCCGGCGCCGATCTACCCATCGGCTTGCGGTTTTCCCCAACCAGGTATCTCCGACCAGTGAGGCACCGCCCCAGTCGGGGAAAGCTCTAAGATCCCGATTGGTCTGCCGGCATGTAATGCATATCGGTAGTGCAATGCATGAAATTTTAAAAAAGTGTAAGTAGGGGGTGAGAATAGGACAAGGAAGAGCAAGGAGAGATCGCGCGCGGTCCGTAGCCCGTTCGTTACGGTACTGCTCCGGCATTCGCCTGGTATTGTTCAAAGAAACCGCGAAAAACTACCGATCAGAGCAGCCGGCCGCTAGAATTCTCCCCCAGACAGCTGCTGAAGTCGACCTAGTTGTCTTGCTAGTTGTCTTACCACACCGTCGATACTAGAACCGTAGGACCCTCCAGTCAGAGGAACGGGAGTGTCATCAGTCGACGCCCTGTAAGCTTTCATTGTGCTTAAAGTGACCCCAACGGGTGTCGTTACCCCGTTGGAGGGAGCCGGGGGGCGTGGGCGTGGGCGTGTGCGTGGGCGGGGGCGCTGACCTGGGCGAGTGCGGGCGAGGCGCGGGCGCCGGGCGGCAGCAGCGCCAGCACGCGCTCGTCGTCGGCCACCGGCAGGGGCTGCGGGTGCTCGGGGGGCAGCAGGGCGGCGGCGGCGCGGCCGGGGCAGGGCTCCGCGCGCGGCGCCAGCGGCAGGGGTTCGTGCCCCGGCGCGGGCGGGAAGGGCGGCGCCTGCACCATCACGGGCACTCCCACGGACAGCGGGCCCGGCGCCTGCAACCAGCAACGGAGCGGCTCAGGAGAAATGGTACAAACGTCTTCGGTGTGTACGGGGGTCGAAGACGATCACGTTTTGCCAATGAGCGTGATGATGCATTTTATTATTAATTAAAGAACGAAGATTCGCCCAAGAGGGTTGTTGAGACTCTACTGAATACGCTAGTAATTTTTTAATTTTTCGAACAGTTCTAGATGATATCAATCGCACTTTTGATAAAACAGCTCACAGATGCATTTTTCACTGGATTTATGGAAATGGAAAATTTATATAACGATGTTGCAACTCACTTGTGGAAATGCGAATCCTTTGGCAGGTTAAGAACCTACCGAATACCAGTGCATAGTGAGTTGCTTACCATTGCAACCATAACCCGTAACTATCTTCGTTTTGAATTACATTATTAACCACATCCTTGTCAAAGAATGATGAACTTGGTCACCTCGTACATGCCCTTGAAGTTCCAAACATTATATGCGTTACAGGCCCTTAAAACATCTTTTTCGTGTTCCGTTTAGGAAAAACATATTTTTGTGGGTCGTGATCTACAAAAAATACTTTTTGGACATTCAGCTACATCTTATGAGAGTGGCCCCACTTCGGAAGACTGGTTGTTAGAAACTTGCAAAGTTGGGTTACAATACGAAACTATTTTCACTTTAAAACAATGATTTACAAAGAATGTTCTCACGAACACAGATAATACGAGTATATTATTTGTGTCGATCTGTAACTCGTTGACGCTCGTTTGCACGGATTTACTGGTTTTCTTTATTATGATCCTCAGTTCTTCAACTTTTCGGATATTCCTTAGATGAACGGTTTTGTTGGATAAGATGCATGTCGATATGTAATTTGAATGATCATGAAGGAATGGGAGATTGAAAGGCAGAAGAAACGCGAAAACCCCTAGAAAACTTGCCGAGAACACGCTTTGTCCCACCGCATATTCAGCATCGATCGACAGGGATGTGAATCAAATTCTTGTGAGGTGGAAGTTGGGCGTCTGCCTATTGCAACACGAGTCCATGATCACGCAAAGAGTAGGGTTGGGGATTATTACAAAAATAGGTAAATAGTTTTAGGTTTCTTCACTTTTAGTGTTTCTTCACTTGAGGTTATGACCGATCAAAATAATCAGTCATTGAAATAAGATTTTCGTGTTTTTTTTGTTATAAAATTGAAGCGTTTCTAGACGAAAAATAATATTTTACCGCCTTCCTTCGAAACAATCTGTATCACAACAAGGTCTAATCCTTTCAATGTTTGCCGTTAATACTTCGATTAAAAATGAGTGCTTACAACAAAAACTGAGTACTTCACAAAACACTGTCCCAAACTCAAATTTAGGTGGTTTCTCACCAACTACGCCTCTAAGTATGGCAGCGAAAATGCTAATGGACATAACCCCATTAGTCATTTCTTTAAAAACGATTGTGCACCATACACCATAGCACAATTAGTACACCAAACATAAATGGGGACGAATGGTAGTTTTTCTTCAGTGCAAGTAAGCTCATTCGAATTCTTATGACACCTTTTATGTCATTTGACGTTCTGGGTCTGGAGCCCCTGCACTTAACGTACGGACATCCTAATATCATCTGAACTATTCACGATACTGAAATGCAGCTTTCAACCAATAACATCGAGCAAAGGGTCAATTCTTTGCAGAGAAGCAATTGTGCGTAATATTTTTATATTTGAAGAAATTGAGTCTCCTCGACTCTTTGTTACTTTTAATATTACTATAATAAAGGAAACATTTTGATTCTGTCCCCTTTCGCATTGTTCAATTATAAACCATTTTAAAGACAGCAAAACTGAGAAGTCTTTGAACGTTTTTTTCATGTGGAAATATTAAGAGAAAATGGGGAGCCTAATGATCGGGATAAAACAAAGAAATAGCGAGAGATTGAATTGATTATATTATTAACCAATAATACAATGAGGAAAACGGTTGATTGTGGCCTAATATTCACCGTACACGCCATTCCTTCTAAGACTTAGGTTCGAGCCCGGCAAGTGGAATTTGTGGTGGACCAAGGGAACTCGAGCAGGGATTTTTTCGGGTCCTCCAAATTCAATGCCCTTCAATTCTATATTCCTCCATACTTGGTGGCCAATCACCTTAGCAGGTGACGAGTTCGTAAATATACAGAAATTTAAATTTAAAATAATAAATAAGAATGAATGTATGAATTATAAATAATTAATAAAATTGAATTGAATAACAATAAAATAATGAATTAATACAGATTAATTAATAAAAATAAATAAACGTAATCCAAACGTAATAAGAAAAGAAAGAGAAGTAATCACGCCCTGGTGGGTGTGGTTGGCGAGCGCAGCGCGCGTGGGTGGGTGGGTGGGTGGGACTGACCGAGGCGTTGGGAGCCGCCAGCAACACCCGCACGCAGCGCTCCGTGCCGAAGGCTCGCGCCACCAGTCGCGCCACCCCCTCCGCCGCCCCCGCCCCCGGCCGCGGCGGCGCGAGTCCGCCCCCGGCGCCGCTGGCCGCCAGCCCCAGCCACAGCGCCACCGCCAGCACCGCGCGCATGGACGCCGTCTCTGCAACAGGGCGACAGCCGCCAAGCGCGGGGGCGGAGTTGGCTTCCTAGGCAGGGAGGCGCGAGGGGAGTCTTTTATTACATCACCCACAAAGGTCAACTGATGTCGCTGCAGTGTCTCTGCCTGGAGGACCCGACGGTGGCAGGATTTTGAACACTAGTTAGCTACGACGAATTTAGCCGCTGCCTGGTAGAGAATTCTCGAGGCCGGCTGCTCTGATCGGAAGATTTCCGTGCTTTCTCCGATCAACACCAGGGAATTGCCGAAGTAGTTCCCTAACAAACGGGCCAGGGATAGTGAGCGATATTTCCTTCCTCTTCCTTGATCTATCCTCACCCCTTACATATACACGCTTACACTTACTTGTAATACATACACACCTACACTCATGCCGGGAGACCAGTCGGGAGCGTAGAGCCTGCCCAGGCTGGGTCGGAGCCCCACTGGTGAGAGATATCTGGATGCGGAAAGTCCCCACAAGCCGACTTAGGTCGGCGTCGATATTGCCATCCTGTCGGACTAGATCACAGCTATCTCCCTCAATGAAATCACGCACTACACTTACGGGCGTATTGACCTTAGTAATACCTTACCAATTGATACCCCCAGAATCAATTAATCAGTCATCACTCATCAACATCTTTATTACAATACCAGAGACTGAGCGTACTATGTCCTATACTGAAGTTACTAAACTTCCTGACGGCGGTATTTTTTTGTATTTCCGAAAATTGCACAAATGCATTTTTTTAAAGATCTCTCACACCGGTAACATTTCCAGCAATTTGTGTCGTGGTGTTGGTAGTGGCGGTGGCGGTGGCGGTTGCAGTGGTGATGCGACGGGATGCAGGTTGTCCCGGTTTTGGCGCTTGCTCGGTCGTGAGCGATGCAAATTTGTCACCATACGACACCTCTTCGCCGCCCAGATTTACTGGCTTTCGGCAGTCTTCGTTGACGCCGGAGTTTTTCAAAGTTTGGGCTTAGCCAGAAATAAACATTCAGATTATTGACATACCGTAACCAGTTATTAAGATTCCGAATGAAACTTTTCCGGCAAAGGCGAAAGCTTGTGCGGATGGCTGCACCAAATCACGTCCTCGCCAGCTGACAGTCCTAAAGAAGAATCTTCCGGAATACGCGAGTAGACAGCTGGATGCGGCGCGGCTCAGGAGGCGATGCACACGCGTGTTAGTCGCACATGTATTGTAATTATCTGTGCTTCACTGGGCTTTTTGTGTTCTAATACTATACAACCCACTGCCAGTTCTGTCAACGGCCCAAGTTGAGCACTGTGCGACGTCGGCCCACGCCGAATGTTGCATGTATCACATCTTCCAAACATACTAAATTGTAATATTACCATGTTAAAAGAAGACGCTTGTAAATATAAGTAGGATTTATGTTCACACAGCAAATTCTCGCAACCCTCAGTCTTCTCATACCTTTGGTCGATTAATCATTTTTGTTTCCGGGAGCGTGTAATGGTATGGGTAATAGTTCCGAAAAAGGTTGTGCATGTGTGATCCGCCATATGGTGTGTGATCCAGCGCTGAACTCAAGTAGGCTTGCGGGAAGTTTACCCGCTCCGGACATCTCCGTCGACCGGGCGCCGTGGTAAGATGCAAGCTTCCGACTGGTGTCCCGACGTGTGGGGTTGTGTAGCGCATGTTCGTGTGTATGTGTTAATAGTAAAGAACGAAAGCTCACGCGCGCGGTCCGTGGCCATTTTGTTATGGTAACATTCGCCTGCTATTGATCGGAGAAATTGATCAGAAAAACCACTGAACCTTTCTTAACACAATTCACTTCGCAGATTTAGTACATCACAATACATTTTAACCAAACAAAATATATTAATTGTATGTATAGTTTCCTATTTGATGATACAAAAATAATATTAAGCTTGCATGACACAACCTCGAGATTCACTTATCGATAGCAAAGTCCAGTTTGTAGAAGAAGAATAAATTTCAGACTGTTCAAAAGCCGTCTACGTCGTTTGTATACTTAATTATCTTCTAGGTGCAATTAATTGACATCGAGATCTCGATAATAAATAATGACCATGTCAGGCTGTGCTGCTTCACATACGTAGTCTATCACTATTTCCTTTGACATGCAAGAAACTGTGTACTTCTGTCTTGAGTTGGAGTTATGTAAACATAACTGAAGATTGGTAACCGTTTATTATTGAATTTTGTTGTGAATAACTAGAACACCCTTACGCTGTTCAAATTAGAACATTATCTTATAATTGCCATAAAAACAATTAGTAAAATTCAATTTTATTTTAATTTCCAACTAAAATATAATTTTGCTTGAAATTCTTCAATTTTTAAACAATTATTTTCTCAAAAACTGCTCCAACCTTTTTTAAAAAAATTGTATTCTTGAATAGGGCAAAGTACGCTTATGAAATTGCGCAGGTCTCTTTTGCAGTGAGCTTATTTCATTTATTTTATAATTGCAAAACAACTACATTGATGATCGAGATTTTTTGGAAGTGACGAGTGGTTTTATAATATTTGCTTGAAATCAAGGCAACGTATTACAAATTATTTTATTGAAAATGGTTCAAAATATTTTTTTAATTTTTTCCTTCGATAAATGAAAGGCTCAATAAATGACGCAGATCTCATCTTTGTTGAAGACTGTATTTAAAATTTTCGAAAATTTAAAGGTTACACATATTTCGAGGAAGTTAGATTGCTGATGTAGCGTCTCTAGTTTCCTCATACAATCTGCTCTTCAACAGTAGATCTTTAAATACGATCTTGAATAATTCGTCGAAAATAAGAGTATTTCTTACGTGACTTTGTGTGCAATGAAAGTAAATTGTAAAACAAAATTTTCTCAAAAACTAATTTTTTCTTAGTATGCTTTTCGTTAGATTCTAAGATTTTTTTTAAAAATCGCATAACTTACCAATATCACTTTCACACGAGGCCAGAGACCAGACGTGAACTTTGAGTTTGTCCAGACAAAGGCACCGGTCCGCTGATGGGGAGATACCTGAAGAGGGAAATCCCCAAGCCTACTTGAAGGTCGGCGTCAGATCTCCCCATCCTGCTAGGGAAGACACCTTCCGTGAAACAACAAGCACTACCACTATCGGGAGTAATGATCATAGCAGTAAACGTGCCCGGAAACATCAATTAATAAATAATAAAATCAATTAATTAATTAAAACATTGATTAGTGATATAATCAATTAATGAAGTTAATTAATGAATATTTTGTTGTTGGGGTGACCCGTACGCTTACCCGAGGGCTGGGCGTGTGCGTGTTCCCGGCGCGAGGGCCGTCTACGGGAGCGGAGGCAGAGCGAGCCCACCCGTCTGCTGGGAACGGCCGACTGAGGCGCAGCTAGGGCCATGGCCATCCGCGCGTGGGCTGCGGCGGGGGCGGTCCTCCGCGCGTTCGATGGCCGCCTCGCGTGCGCCGCCGCCTCCCCCCCCCCCACGGGCCCCCGCGGGCGGTGACAAGGCAATCACAACCCTCTGCTTACGCTTTTACCCTCGGACTTTGGAGGTCTCTGTAATAACAATTTCTAATCGTTTATGAACGCTGAATACTCAAAAGATGTTGAGCGCCAAAACGGCTACTGGCCGTTTACTGTGAAAAAGGAATTGAATTAAAATTTTCCAGCGCTTGGGAACAAGTATCAATGGCGTCATTGTGTTCTTCGGAATCAGAGTACGTGGTAATGACATTGCTATTGGCGGAATAATGGCGACAACATTTTAAATAACTCAAATTGCTAGTTGTGATAGAACCATTGTAGGAAAGTAATTTTTCATCAAATGCCTTTTTCTCTACGTCTAATCCCACTGACCTATCATGACTTCCCCTTTTATTTTTATTATTATTGCTATGTTATTAAAAATTAGTGTTACATTTCAATTATATCAATTGCAAAAATCCATTGATGCTATAATAGTTCGACCACTTAATAGAAGTAACGTTCCCTTCAAAATTATTTGTGGTGAATTTCATGAACTACAAATATTCGATTATCTTCTCCAAATACTTTTCCATGAGCAAACTTACTGCTAAAAGAAATTTACTAAACGTCCCATTTCTAACAGTTTTTACAAATAAGAATGTTACAAATGTTAGAAAATTTAATTCTTATTTTTCAATGCTTTCTATGAGTGTTTATCAATGTTATCAACAACCATAATCGCATACGATTATACAATTTGGGTTACGATTCATTGATGAGTAAATAGTTCAAATATAATTTGTCCAAGGTTTTAAAATGTTGGAAGTTAATTAAAGGTTATGTTGGTTAGTGATTTGAAACAAACGTGCAAAATTATTGAAACGATGACGAATACACTAAATTTCTAAAGAAGACTGAAACACTTTTCGCAACAGCATCTAATATTTTTACCTTTATTTAACTTACCTTTTAATATTTGAACGTTTATCATTTTCCTTATTAGTGACGTTATAAATAAACGACTTGAAAATAAACGCGTGAAAGTATTTCTAGTATTTATCCCTATTAATCAATATGAAACAAACAAATTGATGAGATCTAATAGTAAATCTGTTCAGCTATTGTAATTGATCTTGTGACAGATTAACTCCCAAATGAAGCATTACGAGACATTCCCTCTGTTCCAGTTAGTGGGTGGAATGTGTTGGACGCCGTTAAGACAAAATTGATGAGTATCACTCTTTGCAAATACAGGCTTGGGTATGTGGGAGGCAGCCTGAGTTACGAGAGCTGCTGTAACAGAGGTAATGATAACAGAACCCAAGTACTTGCGCCGGAAAAGACTAAATGAGCACATTAGGCTGCGTGGGTGGCAACGCACACTTGATGCGAGATGTAAAGATCAAGATGAAGTGATGGAGTGGGTTAATTACTTTGCCAATGGGGAATGAATTCTGAGTGACCGACCAAGACACGCCATTCAACGTTCCGTATTTGAGGCGCTTGCCACGTAGAAGACATTGCACTGCTAGTCTCGCGTCCCTGAACTTAATACTCATAACAGTAAATTAGTCAAGTTGCACACAAGTCGCTTAATTAATTGATTGTAATTTTCTTTTTATATCACACAAAGTATTGATATGTAAATAAAAAAATCGACCTTAAAATGCAAACGGAAATAAACGATTTGTGGTCTCCTTGTCAGATTGCTGTCTTGTCTGCCTGAGAATAATCCTAGCTCTTGGTATGTTTCAGGGAATGCATGTCTTACTACCAGTATTATTTAATTTCACGTTGAGAATAATTTAAGCAAAATATTTTTAAGCGGAGAGGAGCTTGTATCCTTGTGAGACTGATTCATTCGGTGATTCTACAAAAATATTATGCAAGTCGGCTAGAAAAATGTTTCCACCGTTACTAAATAATTTAATTTAAGAAATTGTATGCCTTAAACTCGTGATTCGGGTTACCCGCTAGCTTTATGTATTGTGAATAAATAAATTAAAATAAAATAAAATAAAATAAAATAAAATAAAATAAAATAAAATAAAATAAAATAAAATAATTATTATTACATTATTCACTCGTTATTTCCACCCTGAGAAGGTTCGTCCAAAAGAATTGTCTTAGTAAAGCATATACGGTATTCTTACGTGATTCTTGCACGTTTCTGTAAGAAGAAGGGCCATTTGCTGTTGCATTGACTCGCTGCAGGGGAAACAGAGCACGCAATCACTTAGGACCTGAACAAACTCAAATTAGTCATGAAGAGTAAGCGACCTGGCATGCAGTCGAATAGGGAACGTATGTTGCACGACAGCGCGCAGCCTCAATTTGCACAGGAGTGCCGTGATCAGCCGTGGCGTTCCCGAAAACGAGCTGCTTGGCTGTCTGGGGCGAAGTGTTCGGAAAATGATCGCAGAATTGCGGCCTAAAAGTTGGCACCACTGCCTATACGCAGAATCTCCCGGACATCCAAGCTGCTGTTGCAGCCGAAAGGCGTGAGCCAAAAGGCAAAGGCGTTTGCTTCGTGGAGTACAAAGTTTGATCCTAAAGTTTCCACAATCTCCCTACTAGTGTTCTTGGGTATGCGGTCAGCCATGTTGCTGATCTCAACACTTCCCAAGCTGATGAGACGAATTAAAGTCGAAACAGTATACCAAAAGATCACGTAGGCGTAAGCCAAAGAACATATTTTAAGGCACAGACTTCATTCAATCCGTTCCAAGGCTTCTTCGCCTTGCTGAAGAGAACCGAATAGTTCGAGAACATCTACCAAAACTCGGTCTTTCATTTTTCCACATTTTGCAGTGATCGCTCATGTGGGAACAAAGTTTATCTCAAGACTTTGGCAACCCTACCAAAACTCAAAATTTCTGAGTGGTATTTGGGACCCATTTGTCAATGAGTTTTAAACAATATACCCTTTGGCAAACACTGGCAAACATATTCTTTGGCTTACGCCTACGTAATCTTTTGCTATACTGTTTCGACTTTAATTCGTCTCATCAGCTTGGGAAGTGTTGAGATCAGCAACATGACTGACCGCACACCCAAGGACAGTAGAGGGGAGATTCTGGAAACTTTAGGATCATTCAAGCTGCTGTTGACTCCGGCCGTGGCAGCCCGTGCTCTCAGCTCCCGCCAACGGTCGATCCTCCCTAAGGATATCTGTAAACCCTATGCCGGGTTGCTTGAACAGATACGTTCACATGTTTGATCACTGCTACGTAATTTTAACTTCTTGGTAGTTACAAAAGTATGAGAGTGTGGGCTCTGTCCCTTGTATAACACATCTAGCCCTTTGTATAACATTATTCTTTGAAACATATTGAAGTAGTTTTAACATCATTGGGCCGGTCGTTTTTAAACAGAGCGATAGTCGAGTCATGTTGAATTATTAAAATGTTGCGGTTTTGATATAATTAATTTAGTAAAATATATGAACTGAAATTATTTTAGCACATATTTTAGCACATATTTAAACACTTAACATTTTTTAGATAATAGACGCCAAAAAACATGTATCCAACTGGCATCTACTAAGGGTAATCACTTGGAAATTAGAAGCTATATCACTAGGCGTATCTGAAGTGTTCCTCCTAGATCCACTGTACTTCAAAGAGCACTGAGACATTTTTCTCTTCATTGATTACCCAATATGATTACCCAATAAAGGTGCTCGTAAAAAAGTTTGCTTTTAAATAGACTACTTTCAAATATTCAGTTTTCATTAGTCTCTCCAACTGAAGTCACTGCAGTGCCCCTGACCGGGAAGTCCTAGCTTCAATTCCCGACAGAAGCAAGATTTTCGACACTAAAAAGATAGCTAGGTCGATTTGTAAGGCTGTCTGGAGGAGAATTGTAGTTGGCGGCTGCTCTGATCGGTAGTTTTCCACGATTTCTCCGATCAACACCAGGCGAATGCAAACGAGCCACGAACCGCGCGCGATATTTCCTTCCTCTTCTTTGCCCTATCCTCACACGTGCTCGCTTGCTCTCTCGCTCGTCGCTTGCTCTCTCGCTCGTCGCTTGCTCTCTCTCTCTCGTCGCTTTGCTCTCCTCGCTTCGTCGCTTGCTCTTCCGCTCGTCGCTTGCTCTCTCGCTCGTCGCTTGCTCGCGCTTGGCTCTCTCGCTCAGTCGCCTTAGTCGTCGCTTGCTCTCTCGCTCGTTCGGCTTTGCTCTCTCGCTTCGCTCGGCTTTGCTCTCTCGCTCGTCGCTTGCTCGTCGCTTGCTTCTCGCTCGTCGCTTGCTCTCTCGCCTGGTCGCTGCTCGTCGCTTGCTCTCTCGCTCGTCGCTTGCTCTCTCGCTCGTCGCTTGCTCGTCGCTTGCTCGTCGCTCTCCGCTCGTCGCTTGCTCGCTCGCTTGCTCTCTTCGCTCGTCGCTGTTCGATCGCTTTGCTCTCTCGCTCGTCGCTCTGCTCAGTCGCTTGCTCTCTCGCTCGTCGCTTGCTCGTCGCTTGCTCCTCGCTCGTCGCTTGTTCGTCGCTTGCTCTCTCGCTCGTCGCTTGCTCGTCGCTTGCACAATGCATTTCCCAATCATCCCTGCTGATGCGGCCACACGCGGTAATTTTATTTTTGAGGCAGGCGTGGTTTCCCAGGGAGGGAAATGAGGGAAATCCCCTTAAAATCTTCAGTAATTATTTTAACTTTTCACAAAACTTTCAATCAAAAATATTTTCAGATAATCATTAAAATGACTAAAATCGTATCTCAACATGAGCTGTTACATTTTACAGAAACTGTAATATGACATATTTAACCAAAATATTACGAATTTCCCTTTCAAAAATCTCTCTCTAGATCCGCCCCTGATTGGGGAAATACTTCAAATGAATTCCTAAAATCATTCTCAAAATTGTCTAAAAAATGGTGACATTATGTTCATTTTTCTGTTAGAAAGAGAAAAAGTACACTTATAAAAATGGCGAAGGTCCTATGTTCGTTAAATGTTTAAAAAATGCAAATATTTTTCTGTATCTTCCTACAGCTGAAGATAGAGATTTTTTTCTTAAAGAAATGTATTATTCAGAATTACATATTTAAATATGCTCCTATATCTTTTTAAACAAATATGTTGTGAGTAGTTTTTGCGTAATTTTTCAAAAAAGACAATTTGAAAACAAGATTTTCTTAAAAACGACTCCATATATATTCTATAGTTTTTGAATGACTGGAACTAAATGCACTGAATAACACATGAACACAAACGTTATTTTGCTGTAACTTTTTCATTTTTTTTTTGAATTATACAAGTGTATATTCAAGAGATATAATAAGAGTAATATTTTTTTAATATTCTACTATTCTTTCATCTTCATTTCTACCTAATTTTAATTTTTGTTCAAAATTTTTTATGCTATGCAGGTTTTTGAATTCCGACGCCATGGTTAGTTAAATCTGCTGTCTGTGAAGAAGTCCTGTCCATGACTGCAGTTTTAATTTCTTCGTCGTTGAACCGTTGGCCGCCAAGAAAATCCATTAAGCATCGAAACGTGTGATAGGCAGTGGGTGAAGGTCTAGACCAACGAGCTAGTATATTCTAGTATATTCTAACTTGTTGGTCAGAATTTTAAGATGGAACATGGTGACTCAATTTTCTTAAACGTTATTAAGTTCTACAACTCAACTCACTGACATACCAAAACTTCTGGAAAAGGCGTCAAAATGTGGGCAGATGCTGGAATCACAAACTCGTGCTCACTGCGAAGATTGTGCATCAAACTCACTCTCATTCACAAACAAACCTTAATTAAATAATAACCTTCTTAATATCACGTACCCATTACAGACTGTAGAAGGAAGTATGTGCACCACTAGTTCCATTGGCATCCTTGGAATAAATAATCATTGCGTACCCGTGCGAGAACTGTAGCACGTTAAATACCCCCCTCTTCCCTATCTTTCCTTTTCCGTATTGAGAGGGGAAGTTTATTTAACGAAACGTTTAATTATTTGAAACGTTTAAAAAAGGTTACTTCCAATTTAGTTGTATAATTTAAAATTAAAATAAAGAACATTAAAATTGACGTTTGCAACCAATTTTGAATAAAGGTTTATTCAGAATTATAGATATGCCATTGGAACAAGGCACAACACTTCCATAACAACAGCATTTGATGTAATTACACAATTTTCCTTGACAGTTTGTTTTTCTCTTTCCTTGATAGTCACAAAACATATTACAAAAGCTTTTTAATCTCGACAAAGCTACATGAGTAAACACGCTGACTTGAAACCTCACCGAATCACTGCTGACAATGAAAATACCGATACAGGTAAAACACAAACTAAACTTAACAAGACACGTCTTCACTTTGTACACCCACATACCTCCACAATTACGTACACAGCACTTGTAGATTTCGGCAAAACGTTAAATGAATGTTTTCGCTACACACCTACGAAACAATCTTCATCGGTATGAAGCAACTATTAATAGTACTTCTATAGCTGTTGCTGCGAGAGCGAATTTTGTACTAATAATTATGCAAATAAACCTCGCCAGTCTCCGCAAATCACGGTGTACACAGAATGCGTAAATAGTTTAGAGGAATCTAAGCCTTCTCTAAGCGTGATGTGACACAGATGGCCACCGTCAGTGAAATGCAGGTAGCATTGCTAGTATCGAGGGCAGCGCGGAAGCGATGGAAGTGCGAAGCCAGCAAACATTTAATATAATGGCCAAGAATATCTCGTCATGTAGATTATGGTTTCCGAAAGTTTTCTTTGAGGCTTTTGGCCTCACAATTGTAGGTTTTAAGACCCTCGAACGCTTAAATTTTACGAAATAGGTGACCGAGTGCCGCGGGTTGCATTTGACATGAATATGTAGATTTTTTTAAACAAACATATTTTTGAAGTCAAAGTGCAATTCGTCATGTACCAGTGAAATTATATTTCTTTATAGGCCTCGTTGATAGATATTTGTTACGTGTGATAGCCGCAAAAGGTATGTATGCTACTGAAATAATATAGGGGTCGATTTGTGTACATAATGCATTGTTAACTTCAAAATCGCGAATTCCCTGGACCACGCCGAACTAGTTGGACTAAGAACTGTGAATTGCGACTAAGACTTGTGTTGTGAACATTAATTGGCCAAAGTAACCCTTCCTTATCAGGGATTTTTTTCTTTTCCGTGTATCAGGAGGCCTTAACTGTTAATGGGATCTGACGGTCTTAAATAATAAATATCTCCCAAATATCGTTTTGTGTAATGAGTAAACTCTTTTCAACAGAGTTGACTAGTACTTACTACATTTCTGTCGCATTCCATCTGTAGTGCATGTAGTACATTAAATACATACAATAAAATGAGAATGGAAAAACAACAGTTCCTAGCACTTACCATTCAAAAAACAACATGCAATGCTCTAGTAAACTAAAGAAAGGGGAGGCTCTTGATTGTACAACTGTTGAAAAAAATACCCAACAGGCAGTTTACAGGAATAAGATATGATCATTAGTATCTTACTGCTAAAACACAAAATAGGTTTATTGTCTAGCGTGAATAGCAAGGATTCAAATAGGTCATACGAAGTTCAGTATTTTGATTGTTCGGGATGGTACTTGCAGAGGGTCGTAAGTAGGCAATCTGTAATCATGAGGAAGTAAAAATACAAAAGGGGCAATAAAAGCCTGAATAGCATTTGATCTCAAAAGCCATGAGGGAAGTAATAAAGACTTACGTAGAAGAAAGAACCATATCTATCACAGCATAACTGTTGAAATGTGAATGACTGGATCACTAAAGTGAAAGAAATGGGATGCAACAAGTCACTTCAACAAGTCATACATGAGTGATGCTATAAACTACTAAGAACCAAATAATGGTTTCTCATGATATGCATGACACAAACACGACTTCATTTGGGAAGTCCTAATACTTCAGTAACTTTTATTCATTAAAATACTTGAATTCATTCATGGATTTTTAATGGGCATTAAAAGAGGTACCAAAAACAAAATTAAATAATTACACATTCAATTAGATATCTGTTTCATGTATTTCAAGATATTACATGGATTTGCTCTTAACTAACGTAATGTGTTGAACCAATATAATACCATTATAGTGATCTGTTATATACTTCCCAGGGAAAAGACATATCACATCATTATTTTATGTACATAACCTTCCCACATATTAAAATCAAATTCCTTAACACATTTATGTATTAACATCTATCAGTAATGTCTAACAATAACACAACTGAATCACATGCTAAGCTATGAAGATAAAATAAACATGAATAATCATTTGTCTATTCTAACATAGTATTCACAATTTCTGACATATTTAGATCTTCACTTTTGTGACTCACAAAATGTTATACTTATATTGTATAAACAATTTGTTCTGGCTAGTTACAATATTGTATGAAAATAGAGCCATTATGCGTACAAAAACATGAAGTGATAAGTTATTCTGTCGTAGCCTATATGTTGCAGATTTCTGTGAAATCTATCATCCTTTATCTATGATTTTTATCATTCTTTTATACACATTCTGCATTCCCTCAGCAGGAAGAAAAGCATAACATGAAGCTTCTCTGAACACTTTGAAATTATTGAAATTAATCTACTTATTTTCTCTTTGACCCAGCATCAAGAGCTCAATAATCAATGCTATGTAGACAATATATTAAACAATATAAAAGAGGTAATGAAAATCAATACAAAATTATGCTCTGAATTATTTAGGTATTGGCGAAGAAATGATGTGTTTGCAAACACTAAATGAAGTCCATAAAACCAAACTGTTTACAGTGATCAATATCACATTATAAGATGACAGTGAAATTTGTCTAAAGATGAAGTGTAATTTTAAGATGAAAAGCATAAGATCAATAATAGCTTCACTTCTCTCAGCATTAAATCTCTTCTGTGTCAAGAAAGGATAATCTTTTAAAACATGTGATATTTCTCATCTGAGGGATAAATTAGATAACTTGTAGATTTGCAGGTACATGTGAAATCCATTATTGTATGAAAAATACAAAATACTGCCAAATTCTTCTGAACACAAGGAGAAGGCATAAGGCTCAAGAAACAGTCTTGTTTACTTTTGACAAGAATGAACCCTCTAGTTAAAGAGAGTAGTGTAATACATTCACCTCAAGTACTGTGTTCTGAAAAATGAAATTAAATAGATTTGTGCTTGCCAACTCTATGTAGATTATAAAAATGTGAATACTTTCAACTTTGAACAGTAAGTAATCTTTCCAATTTATCATTCTATAATATAAACCAATTATAGAAATAATTTAGTTTCAATAAATGGAAGAAATTCATTATACTTAAAGCACCTTAAAGCTGGACAAGCTTCTGCACTTCATGTAAGCATTATTTTTTGCTGAAGTGCTCTAGAAAGACCTTGTAAAATACCATTATGCTTCGCAATCCAAAAGTTCAAAAACGTTTACTGTCTTAAAATAGTGCAGATGAATGTTTACCATTGGAAGCTATCTGTGAATATATAGTGCTGATGTTTAAGTTGGAAGAATGTAGAGATAGAGTGTGCGCATTGTTTGAATTAGAAATATTTTGAATTTTTTAAACTATGTTCATTCCTCATATTCACTAGTTTTTCTGTTTATGAATAAACTAATGTAATGGCAAACTGGATGGCTAGGATTACTAAAGCAATACACAAGGCTATGGCAAAATGTTTCTTACCTGAAGAGTTCTCTTAAGGAAGATAATAGTTTTAGTAAATATGGAATCATAAACTTTCTTTTTGCAAAATTATAGTTATACTTCAGACCTTAACAATATTTCTTAAAGTAAAATTAATTTATAATTTTTCTTTATCTTCTATGAACCCATGTAAGTAAACATGAACACCTTCTCAATATACCTATTACAGAAGTATATTGAAATACCATACATAAAGAGAATAACCATAATGTCTTTGTTTATGTACATTGTTCATATTCTATGAATATTTGTAACAAGTATGTTTTGACATTTCAAACTCAACTTTGGAAATAATGACAAAACATGCATTTTCTTACTTCTATTCACAATTTGGGGTAAATTTATTTTGTAAATCCAAAGAAGTTTACTAGTACTATATAAGAAGACATGTCTTTCATTTTGAAAGGAACTAATGTGCTCTTCAATGCAGCAAAAGATATTAAATTGCTCCATTTTAAACAGTGGAGAGCAAAGTAACAGGCATTTATGTTGCATGTATGACATCTCCTTAAATTTTTTAAATATTCATACATTTTACAATCCATTAAGTTAGTCAGTGAAATAAGAGTTCTCTCAAGAGTGTAAATTTCTTATATGATACACCTTGTTTAATTCTCACGCATGCGATATTGTGACACAAGGCATCTTCGATGTAGTGTATTTTAACATCAAACACATGAATAATACAAAACAACAAGGCCCTTTACGCTGAATGGTAAAGTCTGTTTTGTATACACAAGACAAGCATTCATTTGGTCCATCTGTGGTATAAATAGAACAAAATTAATCTCAGAAAATTGTTGTTATACGCTCATATCAATCATATTAAACCAGAAGCATGTAATTTTAATGTAACAATGTATAAAAATATTTTCTGCTCAACAAATTAGAGGAAAATATTTTCTACAGCTTTGCTGTTTTCATGAAATTTTCTTTCTACTGCAAAAATTGTGAATACACATCCTTTTTTTCCACATTAAAGCAGAAATGGAAAATTGAACCACAGAAATCAATACATATAATTTATCCACTCATTGTGTTCTCATGACATCAATATTTTTTATTCCTTGAGTAAATACTTTCAAAAATGTATCTTGTTTAAATAAATGATTATGCATATACTTATTTCACACTTTTATACCAATTCCCCACATTTCTCTTACATTGTAAGAATATGAGTATAAATTGAACATTTATCATGCATGCATATTTCCATAGTATTTATTCCCTTTGATAAAGTGTATAGGTATTTATAGAAATGATACTTTGAACATTCTGTAAGTTGTCATGTAGAGATAAAGGAAGCACAGCCAGTATTGGGAGTTACACAAAGTACCGGTATACATTGTGTTCACATATTTTAGTAATCTCCCAAACAAAACTGATGAATAGTTCTTGAATAGAAGTCTCATATTCTGTGTTGTATATTAGAAGTTCACAAATATAAAGTAAAGGTTATTACTACTTTCTATTAGTCCTAATAGATTCTGACTTATCATTTGCAAATTTTGGGAAAGAGGAATTATTATTATAATACATAAAACTAATAGATGGAAATTTAAAATTGCATTCTCTTTAATATTAATTATAAAAATTTAGTTAAATATAACCTTTAATCATTTTTAAGGTATATTACTTATACTATATATGTATATATTCATTATAAATGAATATAAATTAGATAGGGTAAATAGTACAAGGCATTAAATACTTCACACAATTTGGTGTTAGAGAAATTAAAGTCTCATCCAAATAAATTTTTAAATGTTTCTATGAAAATTAATACTTCAATAGGTTATCAGTTCATTCATGAATAAAAGAAATAAATGTGTACCATATTGAAATCATATTCTTTTAAAATTCAATTATTTAAGGTCTTGGGAAGCACATAGATAGGTAGAATAGCATATTTGATACTTGCAGAACCTCCAAATTATCTTTGCTGTATAATTTATTCAATTCCTTATTTGAAAAATATTCTTTGTATGTACAAACATGTTATAGCATCTTACTACAAACTGGATACGAGTTAATATTATATATGTATATAGAAAGTGTAAACAATTCAGAGTTATTTATATATTGGTCCTTTATAGAAAAACTGTGCCAATTTATTTTTCTCTCCCTTTGCATTGGTTTTACATACTGAGAATGTCGCATGCTAAATGTCTTGCCATCAATCGAAAAGATTGTCACCTGCACATTCCTCCTATGAGACCCTTTGAAACAAATTTATTGAATGGTTTGTTGAATTCTTTTAGTTAACATTTCTTACTTAATGTAATATGTAACGTACATACACAGGTCATACAACTCATGGCTGTAACTTTTCATTTTAACATTGACAAATTTTCAAAATATTTTGTTTTGTATGACAAAAAGTTAGTAAATCCCTTCTGTTATAAAAAGGATTAATTCAAACACTTATATTATTGTTTAGTAACTTTAAATACTATAACAACACAAACTCAGTGTTAATTAAACAAACTTTTTGATTTCAGAACTTTAAAATAATAATAATGATGATAATAATTAACAACAATTGTTAACATTACCGAATTTTCTTATTTGCTCAGTGACAATCTTCCTTATACCTCTTATTTCGAATGCAATAGGAGTAGTGTATATACATTATTATACTAATATCAGTGTTTATAACTTTGTATTTGGTATAGATCTAGGTAATATGGAATGTGAGCAAAAATTAATTGTAAATTAGTGAAATAGAAGTTTTGTGTTCAGAAAATTCGTAATGTTACGCAATCAATTCGTAAATTGTAAGGATTCCTCAGTCTGACTTGGCAGGTTCAGAAGTTTCTCACATTGAGGGAAATAGAAATATTTTTGAAAGTGATTCTGATATACAAGAGGTAGTAGCAATCATTGTTCATTTTTTGAAACCTAATATACGAGATAAGTAGGAGTTTTTAGGAAGCACAAAATCATTTAAAGCACCGATATCAAATGCAGTGAATAAAGTAGATCGCCCGTCTGTGGACTGAACGACGAAATCCGAACGAAATCTTTTCTGGAAGAAACAATGGAAGAGAACTTCAGCTAACACATGGTTGACGCTTGGAGAGTATTGAATGTGTGCGAAGAACAGAACGTGATTGCAGAGTCTGCGTGTGTCACGCGCTCACGAAGCCGCACGGGAGGTCGAAACGCTAGCAAACGGGAGGAAGGAGATGTGGCAATTCGCCGGGGCGCGTGTCCGTGAGTCGCACAGCTGGCACCCCTGTGTCGAAGAGCAGTTGCACGCGCATGCGCAGACGGGTCGAGGGGCAGCTGCACGCGCAGTCGAGGCGACCGCGCGCTTAGGTGTCTCCTGCGGGGCCGGGGGCGGTGGGCCCGTTGGCGGCGTGGCCGGGGGCGTGGCCGGGGGCGGGGGCTAGCTCCGACGCCGGCTCGCCACCTGCATCGGGCGGCGGCGGCGGGGGGCTGGTGGGCAGGGACGCGGGCGGGGAGCGCAGGGCCGGGGGCGGGCTGCCGTCCCCGTCGCCGCCCGCGCCGTCGCCGTGGAGGTCGAGCGAAGGCGAGATGTCGTCGTCGGCCGCCGTGTTGACCAGCACGGCGTCCAGCGCCGCCTCGCCGCCCGCGTACGAGCACGCGCACGGCCCCGCGCCCGCCGTCAGCGCCGCCGCCTGCACACGCGCACGCGAGCGTCAGACCCGATCTTTTACACACCATACACGCTACATACACGCTATGGAGAGGTTACTACGAGAAGGGACCGCGCGGCAGCAACTGCTTGGCTACTGCTGGCAACTAACTGCAGGTTATGCGTGCACTCATTTTGCCAGTGCGTTCGTTTATAATTGGCTCATTTTTAAATGGCTTTATTGCAATCTCTTGCAATGTCATCGGTCTGCATGGCGTTCATTTATTTCCCGACCTGTCAAATGGTGACCGGTGGTCCCTTCTTAGAGTATCTCTCCTCTACTTTCACTCTCATACTACATTCTACAGACACCGGCTGAAATGGCTCAACGCATCAACTGATGTCACTGCAGGGCCTCTATCGACAGGCCCTAGGGTTCGAGTCCTGACGTTGACGCTATTTACAACACTAACTAGATCAAATTCAACCGCTGTCGGGAAGAAAATTCTAGCGGCTGACTGCTCTGATCGGAATTTTTTACTGATATCATCGGGCGAATGTCAGTGCAGTACCCTAACAAATGGGCCACGGGCAGCACGAGATCTTTCCATCCTCTTCCTTGTTTTATCCTCACCCCGTAATCAGGCGTTGGAGAAACAGTCGTAAGCCGACGAATGTTGGCGCCCGATCTCACTAAACAACCTGGGAAGGTCGCAGCTATCTCCTGCGATAAAAGCAAGTAGACCAATTAAGGGACTAATGATCTTAGCAGTTGACGCTTCCTGGAACACGAAACACTCAATTATTACACACTACAGACGGGAGAGTTGAAGACCTTATAGTTTCTTGCCTCTCTAGGAAAGTTGTCCTAGCCACACTTGCCAACATTTCTGCAGTGCGTCCTGAGGAATGTTGTTGTGTGACGGTTGAAAAGTAGGCAACTGTACCTAGGATCCGGCGTGTCCCGTAAGTCAAGAATATTTTGATTCTGGCCGCGGGGCCTACACTTTCAATTGAAGAGCTTATTGAAATAGTGACTCTCTATTTCCGTTCGTTTTCTAGTTTAACCATTATTATATCCTTACGACTCTCCGTCATGCTGCCAAAAAGTGTTAAAAAAATGGTGTTTCTCCAACGTTAAACTGTATCCGAAGAATGTTGAATGCTTTCTTGGTCATAAGGCTGAATATGTTTACTTCCCTTCCGCACAAATTTTGTTTCTTGAAGTTCGGTGATTTTAGAAATAAACTCTTCAATTTTTAGGATGGTCCATTTCGCTCTTCACAACCTCTACGCCATGTCCGCATTCAGTTCCAAAAGTGCAGACGCAAAAATTGGAAGAGCGGTACTAGTGTGAGAGAATGAACGATGTGATCGTAACAGGGAGTCTTTGAAAATAACCTTCAGTTGTTTCCATTTTTTGTTCCTTATGTAGGGTGGGCGTCTTGGGCGTAGTCAGAAAGAGCAGATATGGGCATTGCCCATCCTTCCCTAGAAATTGGATAAGCCGTTCAAACAATGAAATAAAGACACAAAATTGTATCTGTAAAATAAAATTGTAGCATTGGTATTTTTAATCAAAATCATTTAAACTTCAATGTTTCCTACACGGGCAGTTGATTTTCCAGTTATTTATTCTCAACCTCTAGTTGGCTTTGGAGCACTCGAGATTTTCAGGTGAAAGATAATACATTTTTGACTGCACCACAAATCACCAAGATTAATTCGTGTGGGCGTGCGGTGCTTATAATGAGAACTCGCATAATAGTTAATAACGTCAATAGACCGATAAATAATTTGCGTTAAAACGATGTAATAGAAAAAAATTACGAAAACCCATTAGCATTATTTTTATATTTCTGACTGTTATATTAATGAAAGTGTGGACATACTTTATTGTGAAAAACATTAACGTAGTTCTTTGGTTAAAATATGCTGTCTCAAAATACTGCTTAGCCCAGACTCCCTATTAAGGACATTCTTGAATCGTATTAGTATACTGACCCAAGAGGTTTCATCTCACCCACATTTGATGTCTACATAAGCTCCTTTGCATACTGAGACCACGTTTCTTACTACAGTCGTGATACAGCCTGTCTCTTGTGAAAGTGTCAATTCAAATTAAAGTTTATAAAATGGAGTCAATTAAATATTAAACGGGCGAAATAAATATACAAGTATAAGGGTATAAAAACAATTAATTAAATTGATATTTATTTTTCTTTAACCACTTTGGATTTTATTAGCTATTCGTACGATATGAAATACTCATAAAAATCAATTATTGGAAATATAATTTACCCAAATGAGTTACAGTTTTCAGATTGAATGTTATGTATGATGCAAGATGTATGAAGCATGGTACACATTGTACATTTTATAGTACTGCAGTCAATAGGCACCCAAGTCCTGCATGACGCATCAAAATCTCTCGAGCGAGAGGGAATTTTAAAAACAGAGCAGAGTTGCTCATATTGAAATATTAAAATACAAACTTTTGGTAATTATTGTAAATACTTTGTTCTTTTTTATAGTTATATTATTCTGCCATAACTCTCCAAATGTTGCTCCGTTATGGTCTCAAAGCGCCATTTGTCTAATCATTTGTCATTTGAATAACGTCGTTTTTATCTTCGCAGTCCAAGAGAAAATTTATCCATCTTATTAAAATTATTTAGTCTTGTAATTTTTTCTATCAATACATTTTTCTTTCTTTCTTTTTCTTTCTCTAATTGTTTCTTTCTGTCTTCCTTTTATTTCTTTCATTCTAGAAAAAACAAAATATTGCTTACTTTGCTAATCACGCTAAAGCAAATGAAGTTCACAAAGTTCACACGGTGTACGCCGCATGCTAATTAATTTGCTTTTACGGTTTCAACATTCTTTGATTTGAGTACCCGCGAGTCAGGAAGGTCTATAAGCTTATTATTTTGTTACATTCACATGTGCATTGTGTTTTAAGAACACGTTTGCTGTATTTTGGACCTACCTTGTTTTAAATAAGGATTGATTGATTGATTGATTGAGGTATGTGGGTAAGTCAACTGCTACAGTACTTTTTAGTATAGTGGATGAATTGTTCAAGGTTCACTTCACCACTATGGCTAGTGAGAGTTTGTGCCAACCTTCACGTCGGCTTGCGGGAGAATTCCCCCTCTAGGTATCTCCCCCAGCGGAACATCATCTCAACTGGGGGACAATCTCTAAACATAGTGCATTTATGTGTGTGTGTGTGTGTATGTGTGTAAGGGGAAATGATATGACAGAGAGGAAGGTTGTTATATCCTTTTAATATGCCCTTCTGCTCCAGCATTCGTCTGGTGTTGATCGGAGAAACTACGGGAAACTACCGATCAGAACAGCCGGCCGCTAATACTCTCCTCCAGACAGCGACTGAATGCAACATAGCTACTATATAGGTATTGCCGAAAACCGCCACCATCGGGTCTCTGACCCTAAGTTCTCCCGATCAGTGGTGCAGAGACCCCAACAGTGCTGGCTCTGAGCTACGTCAACCGGTCCTATAAAAAACAAAATGTCGCAGATGAAGCAGATGCAGCATTTTTTCAACTTTAATATATTCTGGATAATGGTGAATCCAAAGAGTGAGCGAATTCACCGCTCCTACATTACAACAAAAAAGCAATAAAAATCATAACTGCGATTTAAGAGAAGACAGCACTGACAGCACAAGATTCAGTGGACAAATAGTAGGATCACTAAATTAATTTTTAAGAAAACAGATGAAAAAAGGGAACAAAGGCAAAATAATTTCATTTCATCAGTTAAAATAATATTGCTGTCGTGTCTCATAACATTTTGTTAATCAATCTAAGTCTTCCTCTCGAGAAAACGCGCACTTGTGTTCGAATGTAGAGATTTCAACTGAGTATTATGATTTATGTAAAAAAATTATTACTAGAATTAGAAAATGAAGAACAAGTTTTGAGTTTCTTCCACCACCTAAATCTATCGTGTAAAATACGTATCACGTGACATTAGAAACGTGATAATGACGGTTTGCTGGTTATGCAGGCGTGAAGACTAATAAAAGGTGGAAACACTAGTAATTGAGAAATCAATGATATTTTTGAAAAACGAATCTGAGGATTTCGTCTGCATATGAAAACTCTTTTAAAAAAGCGCTTCTATTGTATGGGTTGTAATCCCTTTTTAACAGTTAACCGAGAAAAACAACAATACACCACAATAACGACGCAGCACGCAGAAAAGAAGTCGGGTATTTAGCGCATGTATTTATTTTAAGCGCATTGTCCGACAACAGTTCGCAACGCGCGTTTTGTCCGCGCTAATTTAATTTCTCCCGCCGTTTCGTGTAAAAGCCGGTGCAAACAAAGCAGCGGCATCGGCGGCGGAGGGGGCCGTGGCGGCGGCCGCATCGGCGGAGGCCGAGGCTGGAATTTGCGCCTGTCATACCGGCGCGAGCCATTGTCACGGCTTCCCCCTCCCCACGTCCAATTACCGCGAAGTGCGCGGAGCTGCGCGAGGTGGCGCGAGGTGGCGCGGCGTGGCCCGGCGGGGCGGCGAGCGCGAGCGCGGGTGTGCCTATAAATAGTGGCTGCAAACAGCCGGGGATCCTGGGCGGTGGTCGCGGCCACCTCCGCAAACACTCCGCCGCCGGCAGCCCCTGACGTCAGCGCGGCTCAGACCTGCCCAATCGAACGCCCTCTGACGGAGGAGGAGAGAAGAAAGATGCTGCCGGTGGCAGTTGCCCTTGTCATTGTGTTTAGCAGAGTTGTTTTTTTCTTCTTTCAGCGTTTTGCAACTTGCGACATCTAATAATGTAATTTAAAATTTCGCAATCGCATATGATCTTACCCATATTATTTTAAAAAGCAAGTTATTTTATATTTGACGCTAACCACAAATATAATAACGTAACAAAAACCTTGAAATAGAGTATTGGTCTTTCTTTATTGAAAATTATAGTTATAGGAAGAGTATAACTATTTCGATTATAACGCAAACCAAAACCTAACTGAATTATTACATACATTATAGGTAATATTTTTTAAAGAGAATTTTGTTACGACGAGCTTACATTGTACTTTTATTCAAGCGTCCCACCAGCAATGGTAACCGAGAATAACTTGTGAACAGTTATTCATGAAACCTGTATATACTCGCCCCTCAAATAAGGGATCATGGAGCAAGTAATATGGGGGTAGAGCTGTTGTTCGTAATCTATATTATTATTTTTTAATTTTCCTGGCCTGAAAGTCTAAGCAAGACTTTGCCCGGAGCCATATTTTGACGGCGCTGTTCTAAGGCAACAAAAAAGAAGCAGACAATACTGCATTGATTTCAGATCGCTTAGTAGATTTAGAGAATGTTGCCCTTAATATTGCATTTAAACATGAACAAAGTGCATTGTTATACTCTTCTGTTTGTGATTTATTCAGAGAAGATGTAATAACTATGTAATTTTATTAAAAATAATCATTGTTATGTGACAAAATGAGTATTTATCCAATATTAAAAATAATATCTCCTTAGCACATTACTTGCCCCCTATTGTAGAGCGAAACTTACATAAAGTGAATCATATGGGAGTTATTGGAGGAAATTGGTTGGTCAATTTCAAAATAACAAAATATGGCAATAACTTTCTATACTTCTTTATGTCCTAAAGTCATGGGACTCTGCCTAAGAGTTTTGTTTTTATTTTTTCGTGGCACGTCTGTTGCTGCACCTGTTGAAACCGCGTGGCTGAGGGCCGGATGTTCTAAGGCAACAAGATCCTTATGGAACCCTTAAGTCAAACTAGGGGGCCCCTTTTATTTAATAATAGTGAATATAATTAATCAGATTGAAAAATAAAATAAACGAAAACCTTTGCAATAAACGTGTTAAAATATTTTTATATATTAATAAAGTGGTATGAATTTTTTAAAAAAATATTTCGAAACACATTCTTAGGGTCCGTATGATTTGATCACCAATGTCTGCCGTAAAGGATATCTTGGAGTAAGACTCACATACTCCTGTTGCCAGAGGGTGCGTGACACTTGATGCATGACACACATGTTCCCTGGTAGTAGTGACCGCTAATCAAATATGTAAATACTCGTATATCACGACCACGTAATCTTGTTTTATAACTTTTTTTCGTAATGTAAACCCAAGTACTATATTTTCGTTTGGTTATATTTAATGTTTTATTTTCGCACTTACAGGTAGTTTTAAATATTAAAATCACTAATATTTCATTTTTTAAATTAAGTCAAAGTCCTTTTCAAATAATTTACCATTAAATTCTACACTTCATTGAGTGGTACGTGTTTGTATGTCTAAATAAATAAAAATTGTTGTTTTGCGATGGCACTATATTATATAACTTTGGTCAACTATTAATACTAATGATCAACTAAAATGAAATAAATTTATAAAATGAACATTGATGAGGATGGGATCAGAATATTTTTACGTAGACTTGTGAAAAAAAAACAGGCAAGGTATTAATTCGTTCAAACAGCAAAAATGCATACTTCTGATTGTCGACTTCCTTCGTGGGACACGTTCACCCCGAGTTTGTGAACATTTTCCAAACAGGAAGTCGATAGTCAAAAGTATGCATTTTTGCAGTTTTAACGAAGTAATAGTTAGTCAGTGACATACATTTAATTTATACGAGAAAACCCCTACCGAGAATTTTCCCTACCTCTCACTCTACCATTGCTCCAAAAATTAAAAAAATCTTTATTTAAAAACAATTGACTTATAATGGCCATTTTAGTATTAATCTACTCATTACATTATCATTTACGGACCTCAATGGCCTGCGAAGTTGAAGGTCCCCAAAACTCAAATGTCTCGAGTAAACGGAGATATCCGATTTGTCCATGCCAATTCGGGGGGACAAGCAACCCGCAACGCACAGGTGCACCGCGGGCCACGCTAACCAACCTGCAAGCGCAGAACGGCGGTCACTCGCTTCGCAAGAGATCGAGATCATGTCTCTGGTTCATAAATGCACGTAATGCGAGTATTACAAAATGTATGTTCAAAGAAATGTACGTCTTCTCAAAAAAATTAATGTAATGTTTATACAACACTATCAACAGTATTCGGCATTGCAACGATATTCCTTGCGATGTTATAACAAACACAACTTATTACATACTTATTATAAACTATTACTTAATTTTTTGAAAACCGTTTCGTAGAATGAGATTGTCTCATTTGATTGTGCTTTCGCTATCATATACTCACGTCATCTACATAAAGTTTATCATAGTTTCTAAAAAATGCAATGTTGCTGAGGGGAAAATGTGCGCTAACTTGAACGATTTTTCACAGCATTAGGACGTTTATAAGTTGTTTTTTATCCCGGATAACAGTTGCGAAGAAACGTGAAATTTTAACATAACGCCATAAGAGTATATTTATTAGTTATAGACAGACTCACGCTGTAAAGGAGAAGTATCTTGGCATGTTTAGTAGTACTGTAAATTGTTGAACCAATTTTTGCCAGGCAGGGCCAGATAGGTTATCAGTTTCAGGAATAATACGATGATTTGATTTGAATGGAAAAGATGGGGCTGACATATAATGGTGAATATATTCCAATATTACAGTTTAATATTGGAATACCAGGGCCAAAGTACTAATTACTGAATTTCCATAGAATAGATATTCAAAACATGCGAAAATACCCTTCAGTGATACACTTAAAGCATTTTAGATTATCTGGTCTCATTAAAATTTCTGTAACAGAGGCGGCAACGTGACCTGTGAATGCCCCATTAAGCCAGATATCTCCATGAGATTTTTCAACACATTGTGATAACGGTAGATATAGCCAACGTACCTTCTTTCTCTCTCAACATACGGTACACATAACAACTTCCCATCGGTGCACAAGAAAAGTGACACATCTACAAAAAATTTCATTTTGCACGAGAACAGTTGTAATCTGAGCGGAGCCATTTATTTGACGGCAAATGAAAAAGCGTTTTACTCTTCATATACGCTGTCTAGTGAACTATCTTGATGCAACTTTTCATAGTAAAAAATATGTTTTCTAAACATAGTTATTCACTAGCCAAAAAATGACGATTTTTGAGAGATGACGCTTTCATTGTGCACCGACTATTGGTCGTTTTTTTATCACATCCAAAAAGGGGCATCTGTTTGATTGTGAGTACCATACTCCGTTACATATTCCGGTTAAATGGGTAGGAATTTGGCTCACAAAAATGTTGAAAATATGAGTAATAGTTGAAATAAAAAAGATTCGGATTGAAATACAAGAGTGTCGTTCTATTCGTGTCTATCAAAATGCGATAAGAGAGAGAGAGAGAGAGAGCGATTTACCAGTAAAAAATCCATTGAAATACAACATAAATCTTGTGTTTTTCGAAATACAAATATTGTCAATGTTTGTGGGTCAGCCATCAAAGAAGTAGCTTGCATTACTTTTTCATTTTTTACCAGTTTATTTTCGTTGTTTTTATCAAATGTATGTACTTCAACACAATAGATCTTTACGAGCTATAGCCTATCAATAGAATCCCGGCCTTGCGGCCGTGGGTTAAGGGCATCGTGTGGTTAGCACATAGCCATCCCTACCCTGCGTTTCTATTATTCTCAACCTGAGAAGTGATCTTTCTCATCGTGCAGCACAAAACAGCACTGGGACATTGCAAGGAAAGCGCGCAATTAATTTTTGCCCCGATCAGGAATCAAACCCGGGGTTGCGCCGTGAAACGTGGCAATACTAACCAATGAGCCTCCGATGGCATTGTTTTTATCAAATAGTGAGTAAAAATGTAAAGTCTTTTTACAATTTGTTGGTGTGATCATTTTGGCAGTAAAAAAGAAAACAAAACGAAAAAGTGATGAAACATTTACGATCGCAGACTCATCGTGCATTTTGAAACTCGAGTTAATGGTACGATGAGAAATAAAATGATTTTATAACGATAGTAATGTTATTGTTATGAAATATGTAAGCAACACCATGTTTAGATTGGATTGTAAATGTGTCGGTCGTGCCCCACGAATTTTGATATTTCATACTTGAACCCAACATGACGGGCAAAAAGTGGTACAACAAGACGCCCAGAGAGCTAAAAGCATTTAATTGTACTGTGTAACTAGTAGTGCTTAATGTACAATGAGATAAAACACACAAAATCAACAAGGAGATACCCAACCTTTTTTCCAAGTGATAAAGGATTACAGGTATTAAAACATGTGCGCGTCTGCTGCAATTTGTTTCAGTGTACTAATTTCAGAAGTGAAATAAAAAACATTCAAACTCGATGTCGAATTTTTAAATGAGTTGAAATGATGGTTTTCTCGAGCACAATAAAACAGTAAATGCAATAAAACTGTGCTACGATATGTTAACCCTTCTCCATGGACTTGATTGAAGCTAGCTCGTCACGTTTTATTACAGTCAGCGAGGTATCGCCGCAGTCGGGTTTATCTGTGAGCTGCTGACATCTGTTGTGGGTTTTGTAAATGCGTGCGTGAAGAGGGGAGTCAAATATGAGGAAGGTAAGATCGTTCGCAGTTCGTGGCCCATTTTGTTCTCCTGAAGCATTCACCTTGTATTGATATGAGAAACCAGAGGAAACCATTTATTAGGGCAGGCGGTCGCTAGAATTCTCCAGACAAGGGCTAGAATCCGCCTAGCTATCAAACTAGTCAAATTGTCCAGGAAGTGACCACGATTACTACGAACTCCCGGCCAAAGACAAGTGCAGTGGTAACGGTTGCTGCTCTGAGCCGTCTTTCGCTTCGGTAGAAGATTTGCGTGCAAAGTGTCACCGCGAGAGAGAGAGAGATGGCTAGAGCAAGAGGGTGCGTGTGGACCTGCGAGTCGTCCTTGCGCAGGCGCGGCGGCAGGCGTCGGGCGGCGGCCGGCGCCAGGCGGTGCGTCTCCAGGCCCAGGCCGCCGAGCCCCAGGCGCAGGCCGAGGCGGCGCTCGCGGCGCGGCAGCAGCCAGCAGCGCAGCGCCGTCAGCACCAGCCCCAGCGCCATCAGCACCCCGCCCGCCGCCAGCAGGTAGTAGCGGTGGGCGCTGGCGTCGGCGCCGGGCTTCAGCTGCACCAGCCCCACCACCAGCAAGATGGCGCCCAGCAACAGCGACACCACCACCACGTGCAGCACCGACACCTGCGGGGCAGAGCAACGGGAAAGGGAAGCGATTGGCGCGTATTCGGCGATGGAGAAGAGAAGAGAAGAGGCAAAGAGATGGTGATGTTTCGAGAGTCGGAGTCCATGTAGATGTACCAACCGTCAGAGAGGCAGGGAAAGAGGCGGAGAAGGATCGCGAAATAGAGAGATGGAGAAGGGACGAAAAGCAGAGCGAGATGAAAGAATTGAAAGGCAGAGCGAGATGAAAGAATTGAAAGGCAGAGCGAGATGAAACAATTGAAAAGCAGAGCGAGAAACAAAGAGAGTGAGCGAGAGAAAGATGAAGGGTCGAGAAATAGAGAGAAAGAGAGAGATTGAGAGCTAACGAGAAACCGAAAGAGAGGCAAGAAGAGAGATGGAGAAGAGTGGAGAGAGAGGGAGAGAGAGGGAGAGGAGCTCACCTTGCCGCACACGTAGAACTCCTCGGGCGGCATGGCGGCCGCCAGGTCGTCGTGGTGCGAGGGCGGGCTGGCGAGCGGCGAGGGCGCGGGCGAGGAGCCGCGGCTGGGCGGCGACGGGTGCTTGAGCTGCGCGGCGCCGGGCCCCGCC